AGTGCTCCGATAGAAGAGGATAGGTGTGACTCGCGTATTGAGATGCGACGTAGGGATAAAAAATCCTGAACAGTTTTAATATTTTTAATATTTAATATTTATCAATATATATGATGAACATATATTTTAGTTATTTTAGTATGAAGACGGCAAGGCATGCAGTGAAGTAGTTTAACGTAAATCAAAAAGCACCTGAAGATGGCACCTTTGTGCCGAAACATGTAGTGCGGGAGTGAAGAGTGAAGTGGATGAGTGTATGCACTGTAAGACGGCTAGAATAAATCATGGACATAAATCAGTGCAACAGGACGCTAAAATATAACATTATTCGTATGTATGTAATTACAACTGAGTCCATTTCAGCGGCGTACTTCATATTCCATCGGTCTTGAGTGTCTGTACATGTATCCTATCGTTGCTAGGAAACGGCTAGGTAAATTGTATCCTTCCTTACTTTGCTAGGCAGTTGCTCGGTAAACATGTTCCCGCGGCAACGAATACAAGAAACAATAGAATAATTGTTGGATGCGTCATTTTTGTGCGGTCCATGTCTTATCAAAAAAACGCACGTGGGTCCGTGTCCCTCTATCGTTGCCAAGTAACACGTCGGTAAAGACGTTCCCGCGGCACTGAAGAATTAATGGAGGCGTTTTGTATGCTGTGCATTTCGTATGAAAGGAAACTGTGCCATTAGTTCTTTCCAGAAGTTTCCGTTGCTTCATGTACAGCATTGGAACCTTGTGGCTGAGCAAATGATACCCGATAACTGAAGAGTTCCTGACATCCTTGTTACAGATCTTCAGTTTCCAATCGATGTGAGCGGTGTGCAGAAGGATCACCCTTTCCTGGACACTGACTCTTTCCAGTCTCTGTTTCGACGTCTCCACGCACTCAACAGGTGTGCAAAGATGAAGGTGGACAATATGCCAAAGAACAGTGTGAGTACATCTCGGTGTCTTGCAGAGAGCACGCCGGTAAACATTGCTGGGTCCCTCGCCCGGTATTCTGAAGAACATTACTGTGACTAGAGATGGCGTTTCGATTGGACACTTACCCTCATGTCTACAAATAATTACGTCAGTTTCACTGAGTTACACACCCCAAAGATCAGAGTAACTGCAGCGCACACAGAGTCTGCCCACTCTTTACGCAGTTAGACGCGGCGACAAGCAGCTATCAAGGAGCCCCCACCGCAGTATTATGCACAGCTCTAAGGAAGCACGTTTTTGCTGTTTGCATTAGTCTTGTTCGTTCTTTCGCGAAGGGACGTCCGCCTTTCGGATCCACACTGGAGCGTGAGTGTGCGGTTGCTTCTGTTGTTTCCGCAGTAGCGTCCGCCCTGCGGTTCCACAAAACTGTGAAATGTCTGCTTCTATATTCATACGGTTGTTCTCTCTCTCGTGGCCAGTAAATGATCAGAATTCTCAGATTTCACCAGGTTGGAAAATTAGAAAGCACGTTATAATAGAGCTGCTTTAAACACACGGCCTGCTTGTTAAAGCAAACAGATGCCGTTTAAATTCGTTATTCTGTATGATAGAGTAGCGAAACAAAATACCGATTCTACAAAAAGAAAGTGTTATCGTTGTGGGAATTTTCTTCTGACATGCCTTTCTTTCTTCTCGTAATTAAAATTGAAGTACAGTAATCTGCGAGGAAATCGGTCGGATGGCTGAGGTGTATTCAATGGAACACAGGCCTATCCAAATGAAACGAGTTCTGTGACCTAAACATTTCACAGGCGAATTATGTTTATAGCTAATTGGAAAAGTAATTAATTCTTTCGCATCGCTGGCCGTATCAGTGTGCCATAAACGCTTCAGAGTAAGCCTCAGTCCGTCATGATCCTCTCATTTGCATCCTGTACTTTGACCTTAGCGCAGAATAAACGCGTGTAGGGGAGGTGTGTTCTTTTTTGTTCTTAGAGACGGAGTTTGAGTTCAGAATTTCTTTTTAACTGTTGGTTTGGCCATGTACAAAAATTGGTAGAATGAGGATACCGAGATGGACTTTAGAATTAAAATTTAAACAAAAGAGACGTGGGATGACCCAGGGTAAGATGGTTCATTCCAGGCACGATATGAATGTTATTTATATAGCGTGAATGTGAAGCTGCGTACTTTTCTGCGCCTTGGCATTGTACAGAGGGAAGTGGTAAGCCTCACGCTCCGGCCAGTTACCTCTCTGTTACCCGTTAGATATGAGGCGATGCGGATGTAGTCGCGAAGAAACATATTTGGCCCCTGCCGGCAAGCGGCCGTAGCAGATTTCTTACTGAGCTGTACTTAGGATTCTGATGATTTGAAGTATCACTGAGTCATCAGAGGAAGAAGAGGCTCTCACGCTCAGTCGGAGAAAGCCGGATTGTTATGCCGGAAACTGTGCCCCATTGTTTCCTTCTGAGAGCAGGCGTTTCACAGTGACAAAGTAATTCCATACTTCCCCACGGTCCGCTTGGTGTCTCTGTTGATTGGTTCCCGGCAAGTTTTGTGAAATTACATTCTGATTCGAGAGTTCGTCATGTCTGCCACTCTCTTGTGGGAACCTTGAGCGACCTTTTGACTAGGTGTACAAAGAACTTTATTTCTCTTAACTCTCTCTGTTGTCATTGTTGTAAGTTACAGTTTCTCTATAACGTTGATATTCCTTGGTTATTTACTTGTTTTATATGGAAGGATGAACGTATATTTTAATAAATGGTACAGTTTTAATTGAACTTATATGAAAATTGTCAGTTTTACAAGGAAAGAGAGGTTTAATTTTGAACCAATTCTGTTTTTAACGGTAAAATACTGAAAGCATGGGCTCTGGCTGGAAGGGGATCCAGACATCTTCCCCACCTCCCCTGGATTTTGGGGAAAAAAATAAAACCAGAAGAAAAATACAAATACTAGAAATAAAAGTCATTAAAAATTCCTCTTCCATCCTCAATACTGATGGAGATTAGTAAAACTAGTCTTGAGTCACTTAAGCAAAAGTCTGTAAGCAAGTTTTGTGTCCCCCCCCCCATAAAACTGCCCTTTCAGTGATAAAGAAGGCACGTTGTAATTTTGTGAACTGGCTGGACCAGTCCGTAGCTTTCTTCCTCAATTTAGAAGAGAAGTGACTCAAGGACAAATTTCTGAGGCGTGTAGTACGTACTTTCTTAGTTTTAAGGAACGTGAAGATGTTATGTTATCGTTCTGGCATACAAATTTGTAGGACGGCATTTTTTTTTTCAAATTGTTAATGTATTTTGTCTAATATTGAAAATTAACAACTGTTTTACATTTGTGTGGAACAGGGAGTGAAAGAAGTGTCTGTCTTCTTCTATTTCCCCCCAGAATTACCACTAAATGAAGGACAACATCCAAAAAAATTCTGAGTTGAAACATGGTCTTCTTAGACTTTCTGTTCTGCTGTGTTTTGACTGTTGACCCTTTATGTATCTCAAGTGCACACAGTAATGCCATTAAAGGTCATGAGGGCTGGATGGACAGAAAATGTACTCATGCCCTTATCAGTCATCACGTACAGAATTAGATTAGTTGAAGGGGAGGAGACATGTTCACCTTCTAATTTACATTTTCAAAATAAGTGGAAACCAGCCATATTAAGAAATTGCATCTGTTACCTTCAGCTTCCAAGTGCAGCTGAAGCTGGCTAACTTTTTTTTTTTGTATTGTGCTTCAGGTTGATGATTCAGATGATGATGATCCCTGTGCTCTGAGCGAGAACTGGACATTCCAGCCAGAATCCAGGCGGTGGTCACGAGTGTGTGAAGTTACAGCCCAACATGTAGAACGGCTTCAAGCAATCTCTGGTTAGTTAACAGAACCTATTTGTTGGCTTGGCAGTATAATGAAGACCATTTAGTCCTTCCCAAAGATTTGAGAGTTTCACGGCAGTGACTATGAAGAATTCCGTCTTCTGGGATGCGGCACTGTGTAAATCTTATCAACCGACGTTTTGGAGGAACGTATCGCCTCGATCTTCAGGGTAGAAAAATTCGCTGCAGATTGTAGCAATCTACTTAAGCTGGTTCCTTGCTCACAGATTTTTGCACCCTGAAGATGGAGGCGATACGTTCCTCCAATATGTCAGTTCACACGGCACCACATCCCAGAAGATGGCGTTCTGCAAATAACAGCCTAGACTTTCTTCGAAGAACGATTAATTAATTCACTGATACATGGAGCTTGAAGAAGTATTGAGTTTAAAGGAGCGCAGGTAGGATCTGGGGCTGTCACACCCAAGCAAAGAACCAGCATGAAAGCATTTGATAAGCAGAAGCTCTATTTGGCTTATTCCTTGACCTCGAAGATGAAAGTGACTTGTTCCTACGAATCATTGTTATATCCAACTCTTGAAGCACAAAGTTTGAACATTTATAGATTTAATGAATGTAGTGTAACATGTAAATGCACAGCTTCACACTAAATTTGCGTCTGCGCAGAACCTGATTTTCTCGTTACTCTGGAAATGACCACAACCGCAGCTCTTACTGATTGCCAGTAGGAAACACATTTGTATGACACACCTTTTTTTTTCTTTTCCAAAATGACTTTATTAATAATCTCCAATTTGGTGACATCCTCCTGGGACATTCTGTATGTAGATGGATTTGTGGTTTATCTGATAATGCTATCAGTTGCTGTGGAAAATACATATGGAATGAGCAGGACAAAGCGAGGAATGGAGGCAGAAATATAACAGGTGACTTTGTTATTTGCACATCTCACTTAGTTATGTTACGATAGTCAGTTCAGGGAAGTTACCATGAAATGTACATGTAGATATGATGGAATGAAAGAAACCGAAGGAAGTCATTTACAGTTCTGTTCAATGGCCAACTCAAAAAGTAAGAAAATAGCAGGAGTATGATATTAAAATGGATCTTATGGAAGTGGTCAGTGAGAACATAAATTTGATTGAACAATTTGTAATCATGTCCATCAGCAGTTTTTTGTTTCTATTCCTGATATTGTGTCTTAGGGTTCTGCTTTCAAATAGTTATCTTCATTTAGTTCAGTTACCTAATTTTGTAATAAGCATTGCTTTATGTGTCAGGATCAGTGCAAGATAGAATCAGTGTGTAAAGATTTGAGAATTGCGCATATTTCAAAATATTCTGAAACAACAGTAACAAATCATAATTATGTTCGTGACAGAATTAAGCAAAAATTAAAATGGGAAATGGCTGCTACTGTTGAGTTCAGAATGTCATTTACCTTACCATTCCTATCAAAGAATCTAATGATGAAAATATACAAAATGATAGTTGTACCTGCTCTGATGAGAAAGTTTGAATCTAAGGTAGGCCGCACAACGGCATGCGTCAAGACTGGGACATGACGCAAAGAAAGAAGCACAGTTGAAATGAATGAGATTATGAAAACTGGCGCACACCGGTCTGAGTCATGATGCTGACATAATCTCATTCGTTTCAACTGTGCTCCTTTCTTTGCGTCATGTTGCGGGCATCGTGTCTTGACTGTTACATGTCTTGACACATGCTGGTGTGAGGCCTACCTTAGACAGACGAAGTAGAAGGAAGATGTAGAAGATTGCATGCTGAGACACTTAATTTATACTTGTTACCTAATAATTTAAAGATAATTCGAGCATGCATGGTAGAGATGAAATATATTAGTTATAAAACCACGTAGACAATAATACAAAAACTGGATCTTAAAGAAACAGGGTGTGCAGTTGTGAGGTGAACCAAACTGGCTTCTGAGTCTGATTGCAGGCTTTCGTGAAAACTATAATACACTTCTGAGTTGAAGAAAGAGAGGAAATTAGCTGGAAATTTCTTGCATCTGAGCAAGTATCAGCTTTTCAAGAAAGCTCAGCACCATGGAGTCAGTGAGTCAGTGAGTCAGTCAGGTGATGTGAGGAATCCTGTCATGTTACAGCTGCAGCGAGCAAGGAGAAGGACCAGTCTGCACCTGATGGCGCAGAGGAACATCACGGTTTCCCAGGGGAGCGGTTGATGGATGAGGAAGAGGACTATGATCCTGAGGAGATGCCTGTCATAGCTAATCTTCGCTATGGCAGTTTACCACCTGGTCACCCTGCAGGTGATCCAGAACTTTTGGCTGTGCGATTTCGACGGACTGGCAGTGAGCGCCTTAGGGATGGTGCCAAAGCCTTGCTGCGTCGCATGGAAAGTCTCAAATCTCGTAGAAGGAGGCAACAAAATCGAGAAGGCGTTGTCATTAGTGGGCCACAGGTAGAGAGTTGCGTTCATTTCCAGAAATTGGGGTATGTTTTAGGCATACAGTACACTCCAAATTATCTGGACTTACTGGGGGAAGAATCATGAATGAACTTGAGATCTTGCATAATCCACAGTTATAAGCCATGATAGTTGATGTAGCTGTTGGATAGCAGAGTGCTTGATTTCTGCAGGCAGGAGGATTTTTCTGTTCTTGCCGCATCCAGAATTGCTGTGAGACCCACCAAGGCTCCTGTCTAGTGGGTACAAAGGGATTTTTCTAGGAATAAAGACAGCCAGAGAGTAAACGTGATTGTATATCTTCAGCCAGTGTCAACATTGAGAATCCCACTCCCCACAGACATCATAGTGACATGACAAGGGTGAAACTTTACCTTTATTTTCCATGTTTTATAAACCAAAATTCTCTCATTTGTGTCTCGTACACATAACATCTTATGTTGGAGCTACAGTTCTGTGGATGATAAGTACAGTAGTAGCACACAATGTTGGCATGGGGTGGAGAAGGTCCAGTCATAATCCCCCTCCTACTGCCTGAAAACGAAATGGTATATTTACATACCAGGAAGGGCATGAAAGAGATGGAAAATTCATAAGTCTCATACTTAGTTACTCATGGAGCTGAGCCCTTGTGGAGGAGCTGCCAATTCTGCAGCTACTCTAGAATTTCCCAGCATTTTATGGAACCCGAAGGTTCATTACCATGTTCACAAGAGCCCTTCACTGGTCCCTATTCTGAGCCAGATTATCCAATCCATACCATCCCATCCTATCCTGTCTCTCTAAGATCCATTCTAATATTATCCACCCACCTATGCCTTGGTCTTCCCTGTGGTCTCTTTCCTTCTGGCTTTCCTACCAATATTCTATACGCATTCCTCGTCTCCCCCATTTGTGCTACATGACCTGCCTGCCTCATCCTTCTTGACTTGATCATTCTAATTATACTTGGAGAAGAGTACAAGTTATGAAGCTTCTCATTATGCAGTTTTCTCCAACCTCCTATCACTTCATCTCTCTTTGGTCCAAATCATAATACTCATATGTATGGCAATTTATGATTTAGAAATTTTAATTAAGTTCAGTTGGTAATGAAAATTATTATAAAACTTGTGCATTAATTATATGTTGACACATAATTGACAGCAGATACAGAGAGGTAAAGGGTCCACAGACACTGATGACTGGCACAGGTTGAGGTAAATTGTATGTAGCATAAGCAGGTGACTGCTCTTGCAGTATGTGTTAAGCACATTCTTCAATAGTGGCCCATGTTTTGTCATGTTCTAACATTTGGTCATGCTGTATACTAATCTTATCCATACATTATTATACACAGAAGACTGAATTCATGCGAATGATAGACAAATATTTAAATGGTTTTCCTTGCCTGCTCATCATTCATTTCATCTTTATGCTTAATTTTCTGCCCATTAGCCTGTGCAGTTAAAGTATTGTCAAGCAGTCCATCAGACACATACATTCAGGCCCACACAGTCAGCGTGTAGAAATGCTGAAGTTCTGTTGCACAGGTGCTGGATGTGACAACAATGCAGCAGCGCATGAAGGATCTGAACTGTGTTGACGTCTCCCCTACTGGAACCAGCACCTCCTCACCAGAGCACCAACCATCATCTGGTCTTCCCTCCGCCACTCCAACACCTACACTGACACCATCCCCAGCCTCAGGAACATTGGGTCCAGCATTTGGAGATGATAGTTCTAGTTACTGTTCAGATGGAAGCCAGGGCGGTGGCAGTTCAACAGCACCGCCTCATCATCGTGGCCGCTCAAAACTAAACCGGGCGAAAAAACTACTCCATCATGGTCGCAGCAAAGCTGAAGACCATGGTGCCTTGTCAGACTCTGAGTGCCAACCCACAAGTTGGAGAGAGCAGTACCTCAAAGATGCAAACAGTAACCACACCAAGGTATATGTGATGAACATGCCTATGATAACTGCCCTACCCTAATCAGTGTACCTTATATACTTTGTATACAGGTCAAGGCTGTTTAAGATATGAAAATATGCAAGGTTAGATCATCATCTGTAACAGCTGTTCAACCCAAGATGAATCTTGGGTAGCTCTAACTGGGCAGAATGCTGATACCCAGAGAGAGAGAGAGAGAGGCATGAATCTTATCACAAAACTAGATCAACATGTCAGTTCGATCTTTAATTAGAAACATCAGTTAAACATCTCAGATCCCCTGCCAGACTCAGTCCAATATCAGGAAATCATATTTCAGTCCAATATTGGACCAGATATGATAGCGGTATAGGATTTTCCATGAGCACTTGATGTTTTGATAACCTGGTGAATAAATGCTCCAATTTTAATGAATACAAAGCAAAATCATATGTGTGTGCCATTGAATCATGTCATGATTCCTTTGAATTCAGTCTGCACCTTCACATACTGTTTCTCTAAGATCCATTTTAATATCATCCTTCTTATAACTAGGTGTGTCTAGTGGTACTTTCTTTCAAGGGTTTCCAGATGAAGTGGTAGGTTCAGCATTTTCCTAGTGTACACTACATGTTCCACTTACCTGATCCTTGATATAATTACACTAGCAGTATTACATGAAGAGTACAAATTAAGTTCCTCAGTAAGTAATTTCTCCAGTCCTTTGCTACATCTGTCTTAGACCCACATATTTTCCCCCACAGTTCATTACCCAGGATATCACCATGATGTAATGCTGTACACTTGTCCTCAGAAGGTACCCGGTTCCACTTTCTACCCGGTTACTGGCTGTTGAGACTGAGGCACTCTTGTAATATTCCCCAAGCTTCAGATCGTAACTACAAGTAACAATATCACTACTACAAATTCATACAGTCTGCAGTTTACTACAGTACGTACTTATGTCTTCACCAACAGTTGTCTGGTAATGGCTTCCGATGGCAGATGTTCCCAAACTATACCCATGCCTCAGCTACCAGCTTCTAACAGGAATGGCCCACAGTGACTGAACTGCAGCAGTCCTGTGACTGCTAACCAGCAAACGCGCGTCACTCCACTGTATGCAACTGCACTCCAGTCGCTAACTGAACTGAACTTGGTCGAATCATATAGCCTCAGAGTGGACCACACAACAAACACTGCTTTCAACAGTACTTCCATTGTTGCGCACGATGCAGTCCTTTGTATGCCACAGTATGTTAAAATAAATGACTTCAAGCAATTAAAATTATATGTTGTAGGCTGAGTATTAGCTTTATTCAGAAAGCCAAAATTCTTTCCAGACTCGGGAGCTGTGTCTGGAAATAAACTCTACCAAACACAGCAAATACTGATATCACTCATGCTTTCTCCAGGTGCTGGAGTATGTAGACATTCGGGGTCATGATCAAGATACAGTCCGAAGGCCATCAGTCACCTGCAAGTCACAAGCAAGGGCAGGTAGTCTCAACCTTGGCAAGGAAAGTCAGTGGTATCGAGAGAAGTTACAGGGTGAACTGCGCAGAGGTGAGATCAGATTTGATTTTGTCTGATCCAGTGTAGCATTAAGATAAAGATAAATGTAATTATTTTTAACTTTCATGTGGGGTAATTTACAGTGTGGTCGAATTTTATGCGAGGTGTGCATTCCTGAAGACCTCATATAATTCAGGACTAGTTCTCTTCTCATATGAATAAATTTGCATTATTTCAGACTTTGTGCATAGAATGAGACCTTGTTAGTAGTTTTTATATTGCACTATTTCATATCTGCATGATTTAAATTCACATAAGATTTGAGCACACTATATTCCTATAGACAAGATGTAAATGCTATACAGTTGCTCGACAAATATTATGAATACTGCATTTTGGGCCTCCCCCCTTTTTGAGTAACAACCCTGCAGGGACTATGAAAGCTGTCTATTCATTGCCCATTGTTATTAATTTTTCATGATTGTACCAGTCATGATCTTCCAAAATACAGTGGAACCACCATAAAATGTTCAGCTGAAGTTTTCTCTCATTTAATGCTCAATTTTAGGAATCCTAAGTCAGTAATCTTAGTGTTAAATGCATTTTGTGTAACATTTTCCTCAGTTTAGTGTTCAAATCCATCATTTCCCAAAAGGACATGATGTGACAATTTCAGGATAATAGCTGAACACGCTCATTGAGAGGTGCACTTCTCAGTGTGTCTACATTGTATGTACTACAGTCAAAAGCCTGTTTAATTTCATCTCTCATTTGGCTCTTAATTTCTCTGTTAGATATCTGTAAAATTCTCAGAAATTGAAATGAAAAGATTTATCTATCAATATTATCACAAATATTTGTCCCAAAGCAACCAGAACTTCATTTTTACATAATATGAAGTCATCAGAATCAGTATGTGAATGATTAACTGGAATTTTGTTACATGAAAGTGACCCGTTTATGTATTATATATAGAGATGAACTAATTAGTAATATTTTGTAATGACATACTTTTATCATTAGATTTAAAGAAAAATAATTGCTATCTTAATGATGGAGTCATCTCAAGAAATGAAAGAGCTTTGTAAGCAAAGCAAATGTTGAACATTCAAATTTAACAGCAGACCCTAAATTTATTTTATATCTGTATGTTTCAGTACCCGTGTCTTTTAAGTACCATTGTTAATGTTGTCATCTTTCTGTTAACTGAGCTTGCAATGGGCATGGAAGTTTTTGGAGATAGTCTTATTTCTGCCATCAGCTGATTGGTTTTCACTATACTGACATATTTTATTACATTTTTTTTCCTGGAAGTAGTGGCACTTGTCAATTTTGGACATTCTCAGTGCAAAATAATGTTTAGTATAAAAGGTTAATATATAAAATGTTCTTACTGTTGACAATAGTCTTAAACAAATAATAAATAAAAACATATCTCAACATCTGATCACTTGAAAATGAGCAGAAAAACATTTCCTGAAATAGATCAATAAATGAATAAATATACAAGTGTAGGTCTACCTAAGACAATAAACAGTGCCCAAGGTGGCCATGGAGTAACATTTCTGCTTTAACTTGACACAGATGTGACAGTGTATCGTGACAGGTCAGGTTCAACAGAGTTAATGGGAAGTCAGGACTCCAGCAGTACACTGGCATCACAACCTGAGAGTGAGCATGATGAAGGGGGTTCAACCCCACGGCACAAGTAAGTTCATTTTGTGAGGCAGTAAGTAATTACCTAACCAGCCAACTCTTTGTACTCATATCTTGACTAGCATAAGCATATTAAAACCAAACGACAGCAGATAAACCTAAAACTAAAGAAAATGTCTTGGCTCCTGGGACAAAAATCTAAACTATCCATAACAATAAACTACTCCTATACAAATGCATTATTAAACCAATATGGACCTACGGGATCCAGCTGTGGGGTTGTGCTAAACCGTCACATACAAAAATCATACAGAGAATACAGTCAAAAATCCTACGAGCAGTCGCAGATGCACCCTGGTATGTGTCCAACTTATCTCTCCACAACGACCTCCAGACTCCTTTTGTCAGTGACGAGATTCACAGACAGTCGAGACTATACAGCGCACGACTAGATGGACATAGCAACAAACTCATAGTGGCCCTGAATACTCCGCCAAAGGTGCCAAGGAGACTAAAATGACAATGGCCTACTGACCTCCCCGAACCCACTGAAGACACGGAAACAAATATTATCCATCTACAAGACCGATAGGGATTCATCGGAGGATGAATACTCCACTCATGCCACTCACCCACAAATTTACTTAATGCTCCCCAAACAAGAGAGCAGATTGTAAATACGTAGTCAATAAAAAAAAATATCTTGACTGTATAGTATTGAATGATATGATGATTGGTGAACTGGAAGGCATTTGGAAGGAGGCAATTGTGGTATAACTGAGGTGCTATGCCAGCATTTGTCTTGAGGGACTGAGGAAAATGACAGAAGGCCTCAGTCAAGATACCTGCTGTCGTGGTTGAGATCTGCACCAAGCACTTCTAGATCCAAGTCCAGAGCATTAGTGCAAGACTAGTCTGTTCAGTAACATGAAATTTTGAACCAACGCTTGATAACCTGAAGCTGTGTAAGTTTCAATTGATTTATCAACTGCATACTAGGAATTGTGTTCTGCAATTGCAGTGTTTGCCTGTTAGACACAGACACGTGTGATGATGTTACAGAGCTGTGGTGGTGAGGTGGCACAGTTTTCAGCGGGGCTCAGCGCGTCCGGATTCGTATCTGTTCCGCACAGGTGAGAGAGGCAGGGGCACTGCGCAAGGCTCTCGGCCAATGGCATCACTCTCATGTGGCCAGCTGCTGGTGTTACGCAAGTTAGCACTGCTCAAACTTACGGCCTTCATGGAGCGGTACTGCCCGACGCACCGCACGGGCTGGAACTGGGAGCTGCCAAAGTTCATCCGCAAGATTAAGACTCCAGACTACAAAGGTGAGCTGAGGATGTATATGTGAATGAAAGAATGAATTGAGTGGGCCATAACAAGTCCATGCACCATGAAGATGTATACATAACAATGTATCATTTAACTAAGCATCTACCACAGTTTTAATTCTTGATGTCACGTATTACTACAGATGTACGTAGCACGTCCACAAAGTAAGTTTCTCACTTGTCCCACAGCTAGCAAACCCTATATTGCGTGAAGTGATTGTGCGTACGTGATGGAGCAATGACGTAGCTTGGCGCATGCATCAACGGAATTTCTCGCATTCCCATAGTAGCATAATTGCAGCTGTTGAAGATGGAGGCTCTTATTCCAGCTCCCGCCGACTCTGAAGTGTGGTCAGTGATAAAGTTTTTGAATGCACAGAGCATAGCACCAATTGAAATTCATCGTCAACTGTGCCGGGTCTTTGGGCCTAACGTTATGAGCAAGCAGATGATGCGTCACTGGTGCAGACAGTTTTCAGCAGGTCGACAAAGTGTGCATGATGAGAAGCGCAGTGGGTGGCCATCCATGATTACAGACGACCTGGTGGAGCTTGTGCGGGAATGCATTATGGAGAATTGTCGCGTCACAATTACGGAACTCAGCAGTCGTGTCCTGCAGATTTCCCGCTCCTTGTTGCACGAAATTGTCACGGAGCACCTGTTGTTCAGGAAATTGTGCGCCAGGTGGGTGCCGAAGCAACTGACACCAGAACACAAAACAAAGCGCATGGAGTCAGCATTGACCTTTCTGCAGTGGTACCATGACGACGGCAAAGAGTTACTGGACCAGATCATCACAGGTGATGAAACGTGGATTGCACACATTACCCCAGAAACCAAGCAGCAGTCAATGCATTGACGTCACAGTGGATCTCCCTGTAAGACGAAATTCAAGCAGACATTGTCGGCACGGAAAGTGATGTGCACGGTATTCTGGGACAGACGGGGCGATCTTCACGTCGACTTCCTGACCAGAGGTGAGACGGTGAATGCTGAGCATTACTGTGAAACACTGCAGAAATTGTGACAGGCCATTCAGAACAAGCAGCGCGGGATGCTTAGTGCCGGTATTGTCTTCCTGCATGATAACGCTAGGCTGCACATGGCTTGATGGACAGCAAGTCTCCTGCAGGAGTTCAGCTGGGAGGTGTGTAATCACCCACCCTACAGCCCGGACCTCGCTCCCAGTGATTTCCAGCTTTTCCTACACCTCAAGAAATTCCTGTCCGGTGAGCGTCAGCGTTTTGAGAATGACAGAGAGGCGGAGATGGTTGTCACACAGTGGCAGACTTCTACGGCACAGGTATTCAAAAGTTGGTCCCACGGTATGACAAATGTCTCAGTTCTGGTGGTGATTATGTTGAAAAATAGCTGAATACTTGCTGTATCTGTTGCAATAAATATTTCCATGAAATTGTGTTTTGTTTCCGCAAACAGCCCCAGGGAAACTTACTTTGTGAACAAGCCTCGTATATGTCTCTTACTGTATTATTTTAAAGGGTGTGTTGCATATTCTGCATCACCAAATGAAATTATATTGGATTTGAGGTTGTCGCAATAGTGATTATGAAGAGTATTTTCTTCTGGGCCCTGATGGTGTGTAGTCTGGTTCAGGTTCCCCAACATTTCAGAGGACCATACTGCCTTTATGTTCAGGATCAAAGAGTAAGCCAAGCAAGTCTCTGTGTGCTTCCTGCTTCTTGCTGGTTACTTTTTTGGCTTATGTTCGAATGGTGAAGGTGAACGTGTGTTCCTCTGAAATGTTGCTGAACTTCAAGCAGAATACATGATGTCACATATCAGAAGATGGTCTCTTCAAATGAATTTAGATGAAAGTGTGATCATGATGACACTGACATGTAATGATTGTCTGAAGGCTAGAGATGTAATGGGCATACATGGCTCTGTGGAATTGCAATAAATACTCTACCTGAAGATGACTCTGTAGTCAAACGTAGTGGAAAATTAAAGATGAATGAGAGTTGGTGCTGTTTAATCACATTTAAATTGTAGTATTTTATAAATGGATGGAGGGGTGCAACTTACCACAAGGCATCTTTATTTGTAAGACCTTCTGTAATGATAGAATCATGTATGTTCTTAAACAGAATGTATCTGCTTATTTGTGTTATTCATAATTTATTGTCCAGTGCTTGAAACGTTTGTGCCTAAATACTTCATAGTCACCGTTTAACTCTATATTGTAACTGTGTGTTCCAGACAAGACTGTGTTTGGGGTGCCATTGCTCCTTTCCTTGCAAAGAAATGGCCAAGCTCTACCAAAGTGTATTCAAGCAGCATTGCGCTGGTTGCGTGTCAACTCTCTGGATCAAGTTGGCTTGTTCCGCAAGTCAGGCGTGCGGTCACGGATCCAGAAACTAAAACTGATGACAGAAATGCAGGGAGAAACTATCAGTTTTGAAGGCCAGCAAGCGTACGATGTGGCTGATATGGTGAAGCAGTACTTCAGAGAGTTACCAGAGGCACTACTTACAAACAAACTCTCTGAAACCTTCATTGCAATCTTTCAACGTAAGGAACATTCAAAAGTACAAACGTTCCAAGACTTCTGTCATGGATATAAGTCATTAAGGCATTTCATGTGTAAGAAGTCATTGAAAAGGTTCACAGAGTCGTTTACATATGTAACATGCATGGGATAAACAGATGCATACAAGTTTCGGTTGAAAAACATCATAACATGAGACCATTTGGGGGACTTAGGTTTAAATGGGAGTATAGAATTAAATTGAAATTTAGATAAAAGTATTCTAAAGATGTGAACAAAAATTAATCAACTCAAAACTATAGTTCATTTGCAGACTTTTATGACATGTGATGAATCTTTTGATTCTGTAACATCATGGAACTTCTTGCTCTGCTAAGTGACTGTCAAGTGCAGAGGAAGTTGGTTGTTTCAGTACAGTTTTCCATTATGATGCTGGCTCCCTGAGGGTGCCTTCATTTTCAAAGGTTATTTGATAACTTCATGGCTGAACTGCTGTGAGAGTGCTGACTTTGCTGTGGATGACACCCAGCCCTTTCTGTTCCAGATGTTCCAAACAATCTCCGGGCAGAAGCTGTTCAGTGTGTGCTGCTCCTCCTCCCTGATGAGCACCGTGAAGCACTGCAAACACTACTGGAGTTCCTGTGCCAGGTGTCAGCCCGGTCTGCAGCCAACCAGATGACCGCAAGCAATCTGGCTGTCTGCTTGGCCCCTTCTGTATTCCATTTGCATCATCCCCCATCCTCTAGTAGTTCAAGTCGCTCATCTTCCGCGTCCCCACGACGGCGGAAGACAGTTGGAGTTCCAGACCAGCGGGAACTTGGCGAGAATCGTGCAGCTCATGATTGCCTCCTCTACCTTATCAAGGAGCACAAAGATCTCTTTATGGTATGAGTATGTTTTGTTGCACTGTTTTGTATGGGTTACTTCATTTGTACACAACAGAATAAAAATAATTACCTTCATAATGCAGCATTACAGATGGGCTCACTGTAGAATGAATTAAAAAATCTGGGGAGAATATTTATTAATTATAAGGAAGTTTCAATAGAAGTTCCCATCGCAGTGGCCTGGGTTTGATCCCAGGTCAGGTTATGTGGGATTTGTGGTGGACACAGTGGCCCTGGAGCAGATTTTGTCCAAGTACTTCAGTTTCCCCTGCTTGCTTCTCATTTCACCAACTGCTCCATACTCGTCTGGGGCTGGTACAATAAGCCAATTAGTGGCTGACATACCAAGTGGACTTAGTCTCACCCCACCCCACCAGATTTAAACATTTTTAATTCAATAGAAATCCGTCTGAGGGCAATTAATGGAGATCAGCATTTAATACATGACTTCATTACTGGAGATAAAAGTTTGAGGTGGTGGAATATCGTGTTACAGCTCGGATTTTCCCTCCTTTGATCTGTAAAGGACACCAGTTCTAGTTGGTGCATATGGAAATACAGCAGGGTGGAGCAGTTGGTTTTGCCAGCACAACAGTGTTGTACTAATGGGTTGTTCAGTGCGTTGTGCATTAGAAAAATGAATGTGTGAATGCTATGGTGAGGGGGTGTGACTGGTACAAACAGATGTCCAGCAATTACCCTGAAGCAGATTTCTGTTCAGCATCCCCTATGCACAACAGACAGTTGGAGGAATTCAAAAGATAATATATCTAAGCGGTTAACTTAAAGGCAGAGCTGGTATTAATTTTGAAGAAATGAAATGCTTGTTTTTGGTACATCAAAACAGGTATCAGAAGAGACACTAGCTCAGTGCCATTTCAACTACATGGAGGAAAGTATTCCTGTTGCACTGGAGGAGCTTGGAGCTGAGTTCCAGCAGGACTGGCGTGGTTATCTCTATGCCTGCACCACAGCACTGCTGAAAGAGGCCCGAGAGAAGTTAGTGACATTTAACTCTTAATTCATTTATGTTTTGTTTAGTCACCAGAGCACTAAATCGAAATTTGTAATGCCAGAATCATCATGGGATTGTTATCCTATCTAATTACAAGTATTCAGAAATATAGTAAGTATTACATGAAAACTGTTTTCAATCTATGTAAGTTTTGAGGTTTTCACGGCGATTACAATGAAGAGAGTCGTCTTCTGGGTTTAGGCACCGTGTATTCTTCGTGTTGGCCAACGTTTCGGAGGAACGTCAGCCAAAACGAAGAATACACAGCGCCTAAACCCAGAAGACGACTTTCTTCAAACATCTCACTTGTTTACATTAGCTTGCAATTTGATAACGGAGCCACTGGGGCAAGATATGAAATTTTGTGTATTGGAAGATCATAAATATGGAAGTTTGCTTTTGGGAAAGGTCAAGTCTGCAATGCCACTTGAAGGACTGAAGCATAGTTATCTTTGTCATTGCTACCTGGTGGTCTGTACAGTAACTGCAGCTGACAGTCAGCCAGTGATATTCACGCACAGTTTCACAAACTTTTGCAGTGTTTTCTTCAGTTGTGCTTGTTGCTGGCTGTCCTGATCTGTCTCATCAGTGACACTTTCTCTTCCCTCAGAAAAACATGTCACCCACTTGTAAACTGCTGTGTCTTCATAGCATTATCCCTGCGAATCTGCATTAACATCCCTCTGATTATGCTTCCGCTCTTGCCAAGTTTAGCAAGAAGCTCTGACATTCTCATGACAGCATACCAGAACACACTCAGACAATAGTAGACACCACTCAGAAAAAGACTGCCATAGATCAACAACAACACTATGAAACGCTGATATGCCAGTGTCATGAAACCATACTGAGGTTTCTGTCCACAGTTACCATGACAAGCACATGGTGGCGAGTTTGCAAACTTTATTGTCAGAGCACATATATCAATAAATTTCCATTTATTTGTATAGTAAGTTTTTTTTTTTTTTTTACTTTTAGGGCTACCTTTTGTTTCACTAATCTGGATTATCGCTTAATATGTATGACCTCTCACCTGAATTACTCTGGATTACTGAGGGTTTACTGTACTGAATAGTTGTTTGAGGCACTGTGCTACAAGCCAGAAGGTTGTGGGTTCAGCTCCTGATGAAATCATTAGATTTTTCAGTTGATCTAAGCCTTCCAGCTGCGTTGTGACTCAGGGCTCGACTCGGCCTCTAATGCAAGTCCCAGGAATATCCCTGGGATAAAGGGTGGCCAGTGCATAAGACTGGTAACCTCACTGCCATCTCTGATGCGATTGTTCGATTGGAGTCTTGATGTCTGACTAACCCTGTGGTGCTCCACAGCCTGTTACAGGGATAGCGTTGCCTTTTTAACCATCAACAGCTTCTGCAATATTGGGACAGCATAGGGATATTTGAGCAAATTCTAGACTTTTATATGTAAGATTGTGCTTGGTCACATATTCCAGGAGTCGTGGTTGGGTGAACATGCCCTGCACAACCGATCAGCAGGTGGAAATGGCATATAAGAAGGTGGGTGATGGACACCCTTTGAGGCTTTGGCGTGTGTCCACTGAAGTAGAGGCACCACCTCAGGAGCTATTGCAGCGAGTGCTGAGGGAACGTCATGTTTGGGATTACTCACTTCTGAAGTGGCGTATTGTAGCACGCCTTGACTCTCAAGTTGAAGTGTTCCAGTATGTTTGTGCCAGCATGGCACCCCTCCCCGCCAAGGACTTCTGTGTTCTTCGGTAACTATTCTGTTCCTAGTTCTTCACTAAAGTGATATAGGTTCACTGACATAACAGTAACTTCGATAGGAAACAGTTTGAGTGGGCTGTCAGTTCTTTGACAGTGACATACACATTAAATGTTCTGTGGGTGTGAAACTCGAGGGTGTCTGGAAACTGTGTATGGGGAAGAATATTTGGACCCAAGAGAAACAGGTAACAGGTAAATGGAGAAAATTATATAGAGAAGGACTACAGAACTTTTACTACTACAGTAGTAGAGGAGTTTAATTGAGAAGGGTGAAGTGTGTAAGACATGTGGAATGCTCATGGGAAACGAAAATACATTCAAGTATTTGGTTGGGAATTTCATGTATAAACAAACAACTGAACTGAAGACAGGAAATTACAGTCTTTTGGGATGTGGTGTCATATAGTGTAGTAGATAGGTACCAATGCTCCAGAGGAACCTACTGCGTCCCTGAAGATGGAGGAAGGACATTATTCCAAAATGTTTGTTCTGTTTGCAAAATACACAGCACTACATGCAGAAGATACATATATATTTCTATTTGCTGCAATGATAACCTAAATCTCAGGAAGTGAACATTGATCACAACTGACTGCACATTCCCCTTTGTTGCCATCTGATTGCAACTTGCTCATCAATTTCTCTTTATTTTCACTACATGTTTCAGTCTAACTGATGTTGCACATGGATGGCAAGAAAAGCAGACGCAAAATCAGATATATGCAGTGCAACAGGATGCTGCAATTTAATGTTATTGATCAGAACATTCATTTCTGTGGCATATGTCTCCTATCACAGTACACCTGTACTGTAACAACCACAGTCATTCCTGCATACAAGGATAATAACAAACTAAAAGACATCATTGATATACTTGATATAAAATAATTTGAATCACAGTAATCTCTATAATTCCTGGGTCACAAACATGCCAGTTTTAATCAGAACTCCCTCACCACAGCAGCATGTTTAAATGTAAAAATACAGCATCATTTTTTTCATTCTCAAGGACTGTGGTAGTCCAGATTCTCCACCCTGGACCAAAAGTGCAGGTTAGTAACAGTAGTAAATTTCATGAAAATCTGTGAGGAGAAAAATTGGATTCTTAATGCATTAAGGCAGACAGTGAAAAGTGGAATTTTTTCTAACTTTAAACCCCAGGGGGAAGAAGATACTTACTTACTCATGGAGCTGAGCCAATTCTGCAGCTACTCAAGAATTTCCCAGCATTTTATGGAACCCGAAGGTTCATTACCATGTTCTCAAGAGCCCTCCACTGGTCCCTATCCCAAGCCAGATCTATCCAATCCATGCCATGCCATCCCATCTCTCTAAGATCCATCCTAATATTGTCCACCCACCTATGCCTTGGTCTTCCCTGTGGTCTCTTTCCTTCTGGCTTTCCCACCAATATCCTATATGAATTCCTCGTCTCCCCCATTCGTGCTCCATGACCTGCCCACCTCATCCTCCTTGACTTGATCATTCTAATTATACTTGGAGAAGAGTACAATTTATGAAGCTCCTCATTATGCAGTTTTCTCCAACCTCCTGTCACTTCATTGCTCTCCGGTCTAAATACTCTCCTCAACACCCTGTTCTCAAACACCCTCAGTCTATGTTCCTCCCTTAATGTCAGAGACCCTGATTCATGGGGAAAGAAGGTATTTGAAAAAATTACAGATTAATGATATTACAGGCAGAATATCATACTAGAGAAATAGTAGTGGAAATGGGTTGGAAGAGAGAGAGAGAGAGAGAGAATGAATGCTCTCGCAAGATGAAGTTATGGTTGACAAGAAAAATGACTGTCGGAAAGCCTATAAAAGAGGGTTTGACCAATTAATATTTTAATGATGATGGAACAGGCCATTATAGTTTATCGTCATCATCATCAATAATAATAATAATAATAATAATTTGTTAGGTCCTGGAGAACTGACCTACCCAAAGGAGCATGTGTCATTGTGGAAACATCGGTGGAACATCCAGATGGCCCAGTAATGCTCAGTGGGGTGAGGGGAATTGTGCTTGCGTCAAGATACCTTATTGAGCCCTGTGGATCTGGTAAATCTCGAATCATGCACCTCTCCAGAGTTGACACGAAGTAAGAAGTCATTTTTACTTGTTAGCCCTTGACAGTGCCAACATCAGTTGGACTGACAAGCAAAACTGCATAAACTAGTTGTGTTCCTATCATCCCCACTTCGGATGCTGATCCCCTTAAAGTCAATAGGTGCTTTGGAACTGAAAGGCTCAGTGTAATACAGATGTAGTTCAAAATGATTTTTATATATTTGATTCAGCAAACACTTTGGTTAAAAAATATTTGTTAATGTAATCATTTAACGAGGGGCACACAGTAGCATAGTTGGCTGAGGCACTGTGCTACAGTCTGGAAGGTTGTGGATTAGATTCCTGATGAGCTCATTGGATTTTTCAACTGACCTAATACTTCCAGCCCCACTATGCCCCTGGGATTGACTCAGCAATTAACAGAAAGGAGTACCAGTAGCCTTCCTGGAGGTTAAAGGGTGGCCAGTGCATAGGGCTGACAACCTCACTGTTATCTGTGAGCAGATTGTCTAGAAAATGTGGGAGCCTTGACAACCCACGATCCTATGACCTTCACGGCCTGGTACAGGGATAGCTTTACCTTTTTATCATTTAACCATCCATGAAGAGAGTATTAGTACATAATTATTTTTAAAAAACGTTCAGTCTTTATTTCCCTAAAAATATAAAGATCATTGAACCCTTTAGTTATTGCTAAACAAATATGTCCTCAATTTGAAACTAATTTGCAAAACTATTAGTGCAGTTCAGGGAACTGTCTCGTCAGTAAGAAGGGTTTGTTGTTAATTTTTGCTGCCCATATAACAAATGCTGCATGATTTTTCTTCTCTGTGTGTGTATGCTGCCAGTAACAAGACTGTACAGCATTGCAGATAGGACAACTAATAAATATAGAGCAGTTGGTGGATTGAGAATTTGCAGGGGAAACCAAAATACTAGGAGAGAAAATACATGCCCCAGTGTCACTTATCCATCAGAAATTCCACATGAATTTACCTGTGATCAAACCTTGGCTGCCATGGTAGGATGCCACTGACTGACCACCTGTGCTATGGCTTGGATAATATGGATGTTTCAGTCCAGTGTCACACTGAAGTTCAAACTGAAACAGAATACTGCAAATTTGATTTGGTGGGGGTGTCATTAATTGGAAAGGTTAAGACAGTGAAAATGCACTATTATAACAATGATAAAAGATAAAGTTGTCCCTGCACTTAATTAAGTGGTATCTCATGAAGACATGTGAGAGAAGAGGCATAGCTCCACCATACTTGACCTTTGCACTAAATGGAGGTGACTGGTCAGCTTCATGCTCATGGCCACTTTATTCCCCACGGAATAAGCCTCTGGTACCTATTGGATAGGAGGCTGGATGAGCCCCAGAGCTGTTCTCAACACTGCAGTAGAGAAAACCTCTTGCCCCTGCTGGGAATTGAACCCCAACCCTCTAGCCTGTAGTCTATTTGTTACCCTGAGTGAGCTCTTAGTATGACAATGATAAAAGGAAGAAAATTGCTGCATGGTGATAATGTTTTTTGCATAATAAAAATGTCAAGGAAAGCATAGTAAATTTAGAAAGACAAAAAATGTTTCTTCTTAGTTCTATACATTACGTATCGTCAGTTTGTAATATATGTGTACATGAAGAATGGTTAAACAAGATTGCACCAACATTAGCAAATGAGGTACATGAAGTGAGATTATGTATTGACCTGCAACATTCTGCAGTTTCTTCTGAAGTATGGGGAAATTTCATTCTGAAAGCAGTGAAGGCTGAAGTCAATAAATATCCTTGAGTGCTTGCCAATCAAAGTGACGAAGTAATAATGTTGTTGCAGGGGACGAACACCAGAGTGGTACAACAAGAGTTATGGGCACATCTGCGCGCTCTACCTCACTCGAATTCGTGGCTCTTTCAAGCACAACACAGAGGGACCAGAGAGCAAAGTCTGAGTGTTGTCGTATCTATGGCAGGATGGGATAGTTAATGACATACTTGGCATACCAGTTGTCTCAGAATATTTTATCATTCCGTTACAGTGGACTGACTGTAAACCAGTGCTGCACAGAATGAGAAGAGAGGTTCCATTTTGTGAATGATGTATGTTTGCTATAATAATTGTATGACTAGTCAAAAATTTTGTGAGGGTGAATATACAAACAAAATATGAACTCAGGAATGGCATTTAAGTATGTGATTTAGTGTGGATGAAGCAATGTGTACAGAAATATATATTGTTACATAAACCAGACATTTTATAGGAGAATACTGATATAAGAGCAAGATCAAAAACAGATTTTATGAACATCCAAGGTGCCTGACTCTTGAATTGCATAATGTTTATTCAGATGTAATGTGTTCGCATCAAAGGTAGTTTCTTCTTGCACAGTCATGACATTTAACCCTCTCACTGTTATGAAGCACACCATATGTCAGTCAACAGTGTGTTAGTCATTACACACCTGTTGAAAGTCGTGCAGTGTCTCACCTCGACAAATGCATATCAGTTTTCTTTAATATTTCAAATGCATTAATTTCTTATATTTCTTCTTTTACTATGGTATTTCTTGAAAGAAAAAAAGACATGTTAAAACACTCTGTACAGGGACATCATACATTAAGGATATACCTCTTGAACAGACTAATAAACAAACATAGTGGTAGTATCAGTTAACAGAAGAACTCAGAAGATTCTTTTAATTTCATAGACACCCAAGTCTGAAAGTATCCATTTGATAAGGGAATTTGTTTCATACTTTTTACAACTGATCAGTGGCTTCGGGAATTTTGTATTTCATGTCAAGCAGTTTGTAAGCGCAGTTAATATAACTTGAAAGAAAAATGTCCATAGGAGTTAAGTTTAGAGGGTGACTGTTCAAGGCTTCCACAGCCATACCGTATCCCAGTAATTGTTTTATCCTGCTGCAGGCACTTCATCACAGTGTGTTTTTAAACTAAATCACTTGCCAATTAGAAAACCAAAAAATTTAGTTTCTATTTCGATTGCTGCCAAATACAGCTATCAGAGGACAATTATTATGTCCAAAATAAAGTTTATATTTTATATATTATTTGAAAAGTAAAGTTGTCCTAGTGCTTAATTAGTTAAGGACTACGCCATTAAGACATATTGGGAAGTACTGGTATAGCTTGGTTCTAGATGGAGATGAGTGGTCAGTGTCATGCCCTGGCTGCTTTACTCCTGGGGAAAGAACCTCTGAAATGCATTGGATAGGGGGCTGTGTGAAGAAGATAAAAATCTTGCACTTCCAGAAATTGACCCCAGCCCATTGAGCCCTTCTTTATACTGACTGAGTTATCCTGATTCCATATATATTATTTGTAATACTCAGAAATGGATTTTGAAGTAATAGGATCTGAGGATGTGGACTGGTTTCTCTGGTGCATTATAAGATCAAATGGTAGGCTCCTGTGAACATGGTACCAAATATATTTCGGTTCCATGAAGGATGGGGAATTCCGTCGACGAGCTGAATGATGTTTAGTTTGCAAGAAGCACCATGTAGTTATAATAATTAGCTACATATCTGCTGGAACAGTTCCATTTACAGTGTACGTCATGTTGTTCATCTGTTCAAGACAGTGGAAGGGTTAAACATCATGAAAAAATGGTGACATTTGTATTACTCAAATTACACTCTTTGTTATAGTGTTTAACTGAACAAAATACAATGTCGTGTACCTTAATGTTGAAATACTGAAGTCTAGTACTAAATCAGTGTTGGATCTGTGGTCCAAATTGCTCATAATAATGTATGTAGCACAGTTGGGATGTGCGGTGAAGGTGTGACATTACTCCAACTGTGTGGGCCAAAACTATATTTATATGGCCGTCTGCTTTCGTTCCATGCTCATTACATTAGACAATATTGTAGCATGGCCACAAGAAGTAAATGTAACTTCTATTAAATCTGTTTATAATACAAATTTGTCATGTTGATCCGTTTATAGTGTTTGTACAAATGTAATCCCAGTATATCACTCTGAAAGTAATTATTATTTTTTAATAATGCAGATGTTAATTGTATATCATAAATTGTACACAGAACACCAAATGTTATATGAAACTTGCTTTAGACATATTTTAGTCTGTTGTTGAAAATTTTATGACGCTTGTACAAATTTTGGGAACATATATAGGAATTTACACAGAATGAATTTCCCAGAATGTACAGGTTTTGTATTTCACGATTAATATGAATTGGCAAACTGTTGCTACATTTTCCTTGCCATTTTATGTCTAATTAATAACTTGATAGCAAATACTGTATGAAAAGGCATATACACTGTAATCCATTATACATACTAACCGGTCAGCATTTTTTTGTAAATGGTTGGAACAGAATTGAAAAATACTAAACCTCATGTCATATGTTTGGAAGCCAAGTGAATCTTTACATAACTTAGATGTTACGAGGTTGAGAACTGTTGAGGATAATGGTTTGTGTATGCTGATTTGCATACCAGAAGCCAGTATCTACAGAGTTCTAAATTAATGTAAATTTGTTTCAGCAAGTTCTGTTAGCGTTTATGCCTGTTGCCAAAAGAATGTTTAGATGAGTATATTTCATATAAATTAAGCTTTCCCCCTGTGAAATTCCTGAACTTGTTACAGTATTTAAGATAATCTCTTAAATATGCAGATATATAGGGCAGACATTATATCAGAACCAAGGCAACATACATTTCTTTCTTTTTTGTTCAAAGGGATTATCAGGTAGAACCAAACATTGACATTATAGTGTTCATTGTTTAATGGTCTGTGAGATTATGCACACCTAATTGGTACAGTCAAAGTGATAATCTTGAAGCATTTACAATTCAAACATGAGCTGACATAACATGTCATCATAAGTCTTATACAAATCAGATGTTATTAAAATACCTTAATTTACCTGTGTGCAACATCACACTCATAAATATGAAATAAGCTATTTTTGTACATATGTAAACAGCATGTCTGTGAAATATATATATACATATATCAACAACAAATAAAATATTCTGTTCAATAAAATGATAATGAAGGTGCAAATTATGTGTTTGATGACCAATTCCCTTCATCCATTTTGAGTATTTGGTTCTGTTGATGTTACTCTGTTCTTATGTATGTGCTGTATGTCAATTTTGTTTTCCACTTATTTTATGTATTTATGTTATATATTTTTACATATCCTTTATTATCTTTAGTTTTCATGCCTGCAGTTTGAGATATCACTACACAAGTAATACTGGGGGATGATTAGTGATAAGACTAGTTGTGTTAGTGTTATGAAGTCAAGGCACCTCAAAACATATCAATTTGTCTTTTTAATGAAATGAAGCTCCCTCTGTATTCAACATTTATCTAGTAATGGTAACCAGTGTGTAGTAGTTGAAACAATTTATTCAGACTCGCTTCCTGCTCTGTTGATGACTTTACTAAGTCACTGAGAGTCCACAGGACTATAATCATGTGATTACCGATTTAAGTCCCTGTACTTAACTGGACATGAAAACATATGGGCCAGTGAAGATACAGTTCCTTATGTTATCATCTTGGCACTAGATGGTGGTGAGTGGTCAGTCTCACTCCGCTGGCTACATTTTCATTGGACAGAGCACCAAGTGTCCATTTTATAAGCTGAGTGGGCTCAAGAGTTGGACATGGACATGGACATGGTGCTAAAGAGAAAGGTTGCTGCCTCCGCTAGAAATTGAAGCCTTTTAAACCAGTCTATAGCTAGTCACTGTACTGAATGAGCTACATGGGCTCTTCCTAATATTTGAACATTTTCTCATCAAGTACATATTTGTCTGTACAAATCATTCATAGGGCCACCTGTTGATGGTGTGTTGAGATAACAACTTTCCTTAATTAAAAAAGTCTGTCATGTTAAAAAGTAATGTAAAGCTATGCCTGTAATAGGCTGTGGAGGTCCATAGGGTTGTGAGATGTCGAGGGTCCGACAGTTTCTAGACATTTGGCTCATAGATGATGGCCACCCTTCACCCCCAAGAATATTCCTGGTACTCATTCCTGTTTCAAGTCAAGGAGGATGAGGCGGGCAGGGCATGTAGCATGAATGGGGGAGATGAGGAATGCATATGGGATATTGGTGGGAAAGTCAGAAGGAAAGAGACCACTGGGAAGACCAAGGCGTAGGTGGGAGAACAATGTTAAAATTGATCTTAGAGTGATAGGATGTGATGGTATGGATTGGGTAGATGTGGGTCAGGATAGGGACCAGTGGAGGGCTGTTGTGAACACGGTGATGAACCTTCGGTTTCCATAAAATGCTGGGGAATTCTTGAGTAGCTGTAGAATTGGCGGCTCCTCCAGAAGGGCTCAGCTCCATGAGTAAGTAAGTACTCATTCCTGTTGGAGGCTGAGTCAACCCCAGGGCCATAGTGCAGCTGGAAGGATCAGGTAAATTGAAGAAATCCAGCTCATCAGGATTCAGTCCCATGAACTTCTGGCTTGTAGCATAGTGCCTCAACCAACTATGTTACTGCATGGTCTATCATGTTAACCAGTAAGAAAATGACAATGTAATGATGTTCAGATGTTTCAGGACAGTAACACAATTATATTCACGAAGAAATTGGAGCAGATAAAATTCACTACTTGTTATCATTCTGTTTAAGAATCTTGTCCTCATCTTCCCATACTGAAACATAAAGATTAATATATACATAACTATAATTTTAATTGTTTTCTATAGGTATGGAATTTGATCTCACCCTACAGAAAGGGCATGGGTTGAAGCTCTGAGAATCTGGGCTTAAGAGAAAGTAACAAGTTGGGAAGAACTGCATAACGAGAAGCTTCATAATTTATACACTGCATCACATGTTGTTAGTTTGCGGAATTGAGGAGGATGAATGTACCATGCATGGGAGACATGAATACACAAATTGTGCTGGAAAATATGGACAGAGACAATGTGGGAGACACAGGATAATATTAAACTGGATTTCAGCTAAAAAAGATGAGAAGAGTTTCTATCTTCTGGGATGTAATGTCATGCAGTTTGTTGGAAGTCAACTGATGTTTCAGAGGAAAATGTTGCTTCCAGCTTCATGCCAGTTTCTTGCTTGTCTTATTCTTCAACCATGAAGATGGAGGCAGTGTTCTTGTGAATGTACATTGACTTTCAACAGACTACATGGCGGCATTGTAAATCTTCATAACCACCACCATGGAGCCTCACATCCTAAAATAAGCTGTGAGGATGTGGACTGATGCAAGCAAAGAAAAAAGTATCCTTGTAACAGGCCGTGGAGGCCCATAGGGTTGAGAGACATCGGGGCTCCCACATTTTGTATACAGTCGGCTCATAGATGGCGGTGAGGTTGTCACCCTTATGGGGTGGCTTCTCTTTAACCCCCAGGAAGATTCCTGGTTCTCATTTCTGTTAGAGGCTGAGTCGACCCCAGGGCTGTAGTACAGCTGGAAGGATTAGGTCAACTAAAAAAAAATCCACTTCATCGGGACTCGATCCTGCAACCTTCCAGCTTGTAGCATGGTGCCTCAACCAACTATGCTACCACGTGTCCTCTTAGTGATACAAGGAGAAACTAATTATCCATAGGGAAAGATGTAACTAGGATCGATGAACACATGTATATGTATCATCTTAGAGGAAAGAGACACCCAGCAAAGGAGTGAACACATTGAAAGAGGAAAGCATGAAGTGAAGGAAGAAGAGAGAAAAGAAAACTCACTGTGCTGTGGTAAATAGAAGTGTTTTACAGAAGTAAAATTCTATGTAATTACACCATCATTGTCAAAACACTCTGAACATAACTACATGAAGCACATACTAAGTCAGATTTTCTTGTCTGTGTTCTTGTAATGCTCGTCTGTAAACTCGTCTCCATGCATTAGAGCAAAATTATGTAGTACGCATGCTGCCACAACTACTTTGCTTGCCAACTCAGTGCGAGATACGTCAATAAACCGCAATCTCTGAAACCGCTTCTTCAGCATTTCAAAAGCTTCTTCTACTACAGACCTGGCTGTCTGGTGGAGACTGTTGAATTTCAGTTCTTGCTTGCTAAGTGGATGTCCATCGGCATTCGAGCTGTACGGAGTCAACAGGGTTGATAACTGTGGGTAATCAGAACTCCCAAGGATATGTTTATGAGGCTCAATCAAAGGGTCTGTGCGACTCGACAGTCGAGTATATAGAGGACTTCCAATAAGGACCCTCAACTTGCTTGTCTGTCCGGGGAATCCGGCACACACATCACGAAACAGCAGTCTGTCGTCACAAACTGCCTGCAAGATAACGGTGTACTGTCCCGTTTGTTCGTTCTTAAATCTAGCGGCTTCTTCTTGTGCCTCCGGTTCCCTTATCTCAATGTGGCAAGCACCAATCACGCCGATAACGCCCGGAAAACCGTGTTTGTTTTCAAAAGAGGCTGATATTTCATCACACTCATTTGGGTCTGGCCATTGGATGTACTTCCCAGCTAAGATGGTCAATTCACTACAAATATGATGGAATATTCGATAAACAGTCCCTTTGCTCACTTCAAATAATTTTGCTGCAGCCATGTATGACTGATTGTTGCCCATGAGCCATGCTGTCAAAAGAACTTTCTTTTCAACGGGAATTAATGGATGAACTGCTTCAGCAGATGCCATTAACCTCTTTCCAATAATGCGAGTCAGACTCTGGAAAAGAATAGGTATATTTGTATAAATAAATATTGCTGGGAAGTCAAAAAACTATAACTGTTCCATGATATTGACTTTTATTTTAGAATATGGAATTCCTTATCAGCTGAAACATGTTTCATGACATGCAGCCAATCACACTTTTGTTGGCCATAAAACAGACATAATGCCATGAAGAGCATTAGTCTCTGGGATGTGATTCTATGTGGTCTAGTACTTCAGCAGGCTAAACATTAATGTACCCCAAAAGATGATAACCAGGGCCTGGATTTTGATGACCTGAAAATATTTAAAAAAAGACCTATAAAATGACTGAAAAAATCCAGAAAAATGACCTAAAGAGAAAGAACACTTCGCTTCCATATTATTCACATTTCAGAAAACAGATGAAAAATTCCCTAAAATGGACAAAAATGACAAGAAATACCCTTAAAAGCCCAAAAAATGACCTTAAACCTAAAAGTGTCAAAAAATTACCTATAAAATTTACATTTCTGTAACCAGCAGCTCACATCCGAGATCTATATACTTAAGAGCATCGCATAGGATACAAGGAAAAAAAAGATGACATGTCATCAAAATCCGGATCCTGATGATAACGCTCATAGTCACAGCTATGAAAATCAGAATCTCAAATAATATCATAATAATTTTATTGGCAGTATATTTAATGCAGCATTATAGAAAAACTTGAAAAATAATGATACAGATTGTGTTATGATACAAGACAGACCAACCAGTCCTTTCACTTGGAAATGTGATGACAATCCCTTATCCAATTTAGGTTTGTGTAATGCAATATATATCATGGGGTATTATGAAATGGGGGGAGGAGGGTATCTAACTGCCATTTTAGAATGGTAACACCATGAACACTGTCAATTAACCCTGGTTAACATGTGAGTTCTTGCAACATTGGCTGGAAGTTTATTCCTTAAATACCGAGTACAGACAGGTGCTGAAGAAAGCCCCTAAGCAAACACTGAGGCTGTGACCAATTGCTGGTTAATCATACAATATGTATACTTCAGGGACTATGAAACATTCATGTAACAATGACTGGCAGGGGGAAACAGAACTTCTTACTCAGCCTTACTCAGTACTGCTTTGCCCGTCACAAATATCGCATAGCCTCCCCTGATATTAACTCAGATCTCTGCAGTGGAAAGCTGAAATCTAATTTATGTGGTGTGGCCTCCATATGGTTGCAGTGCAGCAATATACCTTGCTAACACAAGAAACATCAGAGTGGGGCAATTTCCTGGGGACAGTGCATATACAAGACATTTCAGAATACTGTATTGGAGCATCGCGTTAGCACTCTCTCTTCACTGTCTCTGTGCAACTTTGTTCATACATTGAAACTGACATTTTGAAGGCTCTTTTGTTTCTTCTGCTTATCTAACACTCCATGTTTCAGCGTAACTGGCCATCATCAGTGTGTAAGACTGCAGATGGAAAATGCTGCTTTGTTGTAACGCTGTTGTACTTCGCATTTGATGGGTAATGTGTTAATTACAGATAAGTGAAACAACACTAGTCATTTTTAAAACGTCTATTGTAGGATACCTATACTTCTTTAGTCATGATTTTACTCTGTTATAGACAATGTTAATATGTATTTTATTATGATAATAAGTTGCAGTGCAAGTGTTACATGCATGTTGTATTTAATTATTTAATTGCAGGTGGGCTCTTTTTTATTCTTTAGGTGAGTATTATGAATGGAAAACAAGGGATGATTGTGCTAATTACAGATAAATAAAACTACACTAGTCATTTTTAAACTTTTATTGTAAGATGCCCATAACTCTTTGGATATGATTTTGCTCTGTTATTGACAATGTTGATATGTATTTTGTTATGATAATAAGTTGCAGTGCGAGTGTTATATGCATGCTGTGTTTAGTTATAGCATTGTATCAACAGTTATTGCAACAATGGTTGTGGATATGTTGTAATATCTTAATGACGTTGTCCTCTGGATTAATTTTATTGTAACTAGGGCTTTGACGTGTTCTATATCTGGTGGCGCCATCACCAAATGTAGATCTGATGAACAAAATAAATTGAATTGAATGTAAAATGCAAGTATTTTAAGTCCTTTTTTTTATTATGGTGTGGTTACTTTTGTTGTGCACACCTGTGATGGATCTACACCCAGCACAAAGGAAAGAAACCAACACACACACACACACACACACAAAAAAAACATACCATCGTCCCTATGTAGTTCTACATAGAAACACAAAGGAGCATTATAGCGAGCAGAAGTTTCCTTAATCACAACCTATACACTTTAAAATGGCCGATTAGGAAGAAACATGTAGTGTCAATAACGAAAAACGACGAGTTAATATTAACCGACGTTTCACAGAGACTTTATAAAAGCAAACCGCTAGCTAAGTTCTATGCGGTGCATAGGAATGCTGCAATAAAACATTACGACGTATTGCGAGATTCGATGTTCTAACCTCACCTAAAATCCTGTATACATGTTAATTACACTACCACGGCTCAAAACAACTTAAATTACGTTAAGATGCGCAAATCAGTATATGATAGAAATCTGCCCCTGGCCGATAAAATTATAGACTGTCATACTTGAATAGTATTTCTGTTCATCCTGAAATACGTTTTGAAATCAGAATCTCTGCATGTTACAAGAGTTTCGTAATTTGCGCCAGGTGTTTGTTGCCGTTCAGTGTTCTCTTCGAGCTTGTTTTCTGCGCTATCCCTTGCTGCAAGCAGTGATGTTAAAATATGATGACGATGTGCTCCCATTTCAGATTTAATAAAAGTGTACACATGATTAGTTGGTGACTCAGAAAGTTCCGTCAAAGCAAAATTTAAAAGAGCCTCCTTCACATCCTCCACTCCGACAGCCATTTGTAACATTACTGTGGTCATCGTGATCATCGTGATCATCGTGATGTGATCGAATTAAATGAATGGTATAACCAGGGTGACCAATACCCCAGAATAAAGTCACTAAATATTAGTACAAAATTCGTTGGATCCTACAGATGATTAGTGCTGTTACCTATATATATATAAACAAAATATATTTCCCAATTTATCGCAGTACATTTTACCACAAAAATAATAATAAATATTTTTGAGCTTAGGAAGCGTAACATATGTAATACTTTTTTTTTTTAATTAAATTAAATTCGCTTAGTGGGGGGGTGGAGTCCAACAGGGTCCCCTGCCCCGGGTGATTATGATGGAGAATTTGGTGGAATGAAGATTGGTAGGGAAAACCGAAGTACTCGGAGAAAACCCGCCCCAGCGCCACTTTGTCCACCACAAATCCCACTTGACCAGACCCCGGGATTGAACCCGGGCCACCGCGGTGGGAAACCAGCGACTAACGATAGCAAACCCATTGTTAATGATTCATTCTGATATTCATTAATTTGAAACACTACCAATGAAATCAAAATGCCGCATATGCTTTTAATGTGTTATGTACATTTCATAGCTATAATTTTTGTTATAGACAGTAAGTTCATTCCTGTATTACATATAATAATTAATTTAAAGAAAGTTTCATTTTTGGTATTTATGATGTGGGTAGATCTCAAAATATAGTCTTTCAATTTTTTTTTATCATAACCGGCTACCTAATGCGTTTATTCTTTTCTTTAAGTACAAGAGTGAATACACGCTGATTTGCAGCACAGAGTTTTAGGATTGTTGCGACTGTCGACTGCAAACGCTTTAATTATAACGTCATGGCTTCTTAAGAACACCAGATCTGGTAACAAAATTATCATATTGACAACCCTGGGCATAGCTCCTATGTGCGATATGGATAACGACCATTGTGACCAACCAAGCTTGCACGTGTTTCCTACGCGCCTCCCACTCGCTGATAGCTGTCTCGTCTGCTTCTTCTTGACGTACAAATTATCTGGTAGATGGCACTATGATGTAGTTTGAAATCGGTAATTATATATATCTAGATTCAAGTGGCCCGAGGTGGTTGAGACTGTAGTTCCTAATTTTGCTACCCAGAAGCAGCACTGTTGTAAGTTTCGTACGGTGTCTGCGACACCAATGAACAGGAGTTTGGTTTCGTTCTACCATCAGCGACAGTCGTGACAGCTGTTATGGGTTTACAGTTGAATGTGTCATATATCGAACTCGCGTATTGTTTAGAATCGAATATGTATGGATTTGTTATCACTTGTGCTGAAAATGAAATCTTAAGTGATTATGTTGTGCTGAAATCGGATTGTGTGCGTAGTATTTAACTTGAGAAAGTGACAACATGATTACTGTCACTACCAGAGTGTACAGGAGAGAATGAAAAGTAAGTCCATCATTTCTGGTTTATTTGACTGTTAACTCCATATCGTCTCCCAAAGTGATCTTTAATAACCATATTACTTGTGTGTATATGTTTACTGAAGACAGTGGAAAAGGTAAAAATACATGTGGATGTACCCATTAAACTAGTTGAACGCCCCACCCGTTTGCTCTGAGGATGAAAGAGGTTTGAAGTTATGAACGAGAGTTAGTGGCGAGTAAGGAAAATAATTAGTAGGCCTGAGCATTTCAAACCCCCAAAATTCAGCTGGAACGACTGAGCAAAACGATAAAAAAAATTGTCACACCTGTCTGTAGGGGGGGTTGGACCCCGACGTTCAGGGTAAGAAATCAAAATTATTAAAGCTCTAATGGCGCCAAAATACTGACTACGTTTAGCTAGCAGGCTAATAAACAAATTGTGTACACATGTTGTCAGTTGTGATGGACTATTATTTTAGATAAATAGTTCTGTGAAATGCACTGATAGGATTTGATCCATTGCAAGTGAGAATGAATTCAAGTGGCTCGGGATGCAGTCCATTGACGGGCTTTTGCGGGCACAATTGGATGAATTCCCGGGTTCCCGAAAAACAGGCAATTCTATAGTGACACACAACAGGTATCTTTGGGGACTTGCTGATCGTTCGTTATCCATGCACGGATTATCCTGTTTATGGCTTTATCTGTACGCCTTTTTGTAACTATCTCACTCCTTCGGAGCTCCTGCTAATTCGCACAATGTACCAGTCTGCCTATACACATGAAAGATCTCGGAACCGGTAAACCAGTTTGCATTAAATTTGTTTGGAAATTTTACGAAGAATTCTCTTGCTACTTTCATTTTCATTTAGAAAAGCAAACTGTAATGACAAATTTAGATGAAGACCTACGTGCGTTTCTGCTTATATCTCTAGTGTAACTTGCAAAATTTTGGAACGAAAAACGATGTGAACAGATGCTGGGAAAAATTAAACACACTTTGCGTTCAGTACACTTACATTTTTCGGGATAGCTGAAAAAAATCGGACACTATACCAGCATTTGCGGATATCTGTATTGAACAGTTAACACAATCTCCCGTACACAGCCGAAAAGTTTTCCCATTTCCCTCTTCATTAGCACCGATAATTGGGAGTATATTGTACTGTTTGGCTTATTTCCGGTCCACCTCATTTTTAATTCACAGATTAAAGAATGCTCTGGTCATAAAAGTGGAACGTGTTTTGCTCTTCATGCCCTTGTGCATAGAAATTAAACTACAGTGGGTCATTGATTGAAGCGGGTGTCGGAGGACTGCTTCATTCCCGCATTATCACTGAAATTGACATTTATGTACATTTTTAATCCATGTTATTGTGGATGTGACCGCCTCTGTGGTCTATGGTCAGAGTTCCTGAGGTCCCGGGTTCGATTCCAGGCACTACCAGATTTTCTGAGAAGTAGTGGGTCTGGAACAGGGTCCACTCAGCCTCGTGATGATTGTATTGTATTGGAGAGGGTGGGTTTCCCCATGCACTTAGACCAACTGTTGGTCCATTGTGCGTCCCCCTATGATATTCTACCAGTCTCTATTCCCTACCCGTACTGGTGCGTGCCATCAGTACCGACACAGCCAGCGAGTTCGGCCTCTACTGGCTCAGCGGTATCTCTCTTTGCTTCCCCCATCTACCAGAGGCGTTAGAGACTACTGTTGGACGGGAAATGTCCTGAATTTGGCTCAGTGGTCCCCTTGGGACATGAGGTTCTTTTTACGTGCCGTAAAGCTACGACACGGGACCCACGGCTTAAAGTCCCTCCCGGAGGACTTGTTCCCTGAATTTTTCCGCCCTTAAAAATTCCACGACCTCCGCCGGGTTTGAACCCGCGTACCTTGAGTCACGAGGTGGGAACGTTACTCCTAGACTACGGAGGCCGCTTAGCCTCGTGATGATAATTGAGGAGCTATTTCAAGGAAGTCGCTGCTCCGGTCTAGAAAACCGAGATTAACAGCCTTTGGGGATGCATTACAGTGACCACGCGACACCCTCTATCCGCTAAAGTTGGCACTGACTTCGCCAACAAGCGGCGGTCGCTCGGTCGGTATAGTCCACTTGCGGACTGCGGGCCACGGAGTTTTTTTTGTTTTGTTTGTTACTGTGGATACACTATTTATGTAATGATTAAAATCCGTACATTTCAGATTAAATTTCAGAGCAGCGTAAATTCCTTACAAGATCAGGGCCGCAGTATATCAGAATTGCGGTATAACGAGGACCTACTGTATCTTCATGTTGTCATGTATCGGGGTTGGCGTGACTAATAATAATGGGTTCTGGATTCAATGATTGGATTTATTGGCACGCCTTTACAATTAAAATCAATTTTGACAGCTGACAATCAGTGATTGTCTACGATTCGCTCCATGCCTTACTGGACCACGAGCGCCTTTCCTTCCACCGCGACGAATGACGAACGAAGAATCACAGTGGAGACGTTGAGCTCCTACTGAATGACGTCTGTCTGACGAATCTCTTGAATTCACGAATGAACCCCCTTTTATAACTGCAAGAGAACCGAATACAGATCACCGTCTCCAAGGGTTCCACTACTGCTCTTCATGAATGCAGAGTCAGTCATATTGCGACTGACGGTCAGTAAGTCTTGGTGTCGTGTCCTATCTTTGGATCATGACCAGATACTTATTACCGGTTGGCAGTTACGGTTTTGTTTTTGTGGGGCACCCTCTCTTACGATAGGACGGGTCGATATGCTGCTGGCCGATGACAGTGCAATCTTTCTTGGGCCCGAGTCCCTTGTGGATCCCGACCATATTTTACTGTCTCAAATTTGAGATTTCCCTTTTCGTCGCCACCTACGGATAGCAGGGTCACGATGGAGGTTTTCGACCCCGCCTCCACACGGGTTTTCATGTGTGCGTTGTCTCGGAAACGCGCATCAACCGTTACCTAGCAAATGGGCAATTCCGTGTCTGGCTCCACTATTCCGGCTTTTAGGCGTGTTTACCGAGCCGTTGCCCAGCAAATGATCATATTCCATCAGAATATGTTATGAGATGTGAGGTTAACACAGTGGGAACTACGAAAATTACCATTTTCTTAAATGTAATGCTGTGTAGTCTGTTGTATTGTTACCGATTATCCATCTTAAGGACTACTTTGAAGATGGAGCCGTCCTTTAGAACGTCGATAATGGTCTGCCAGACGTCACGGCGTCACATCCCAGAACACAGTAATTTTCTTCGTATTCATATTTACAAAATGACCTCCATATATTGTGGAATTTGAAGTCCAAACTGTCATTTGGTCATTCCGAATGAGTTTCAACATGCCACAAGCCTTATGTACTTTGAATGTTTTTTTTTTTTTTTGCAAAACTGCCAAATCACGTTCATATATTGGCCCCATAATGGGTCACCGCTTATATGGCGATGAGGCATGCTTGACCTTTCAGGGATAAAACCAAGCAGCCATGGCTTTCCAGCGCCGACAGTCGTGGTTGTTGACAATAAAAGTTGTTATCGGTGCGTGAAAACTTGCATAATCATTTAATTAGCTAATCACTTATGCAGTTGAAGAATATTCAAACAAGTCCCCCCCTTGGCACTCCAGTCCCAGTGGGCCTAGGCCTACCTCCATGAACTTCTCCGTTCACTTCGGTTTTTCTAGATCTTACACATACGGTAGGACTCCTTGGGCGGGTGATCAGCTCGTCGCAAGGCTTCTACCTGTACAGAAACAGAAAAACGCACACACACAAACTAAACATCCATGCCCTGAGTGGGATTCGAACCCACGATCCCGGTTTCCAAGCGAGCGAATACAGTACATGCCTTAGACCGCTCGGCTACCGTGACCGGCATTCAGGCAAGTAACAAGTAATAATTAACTGACTCTTTATTGCAGGGTTATTGTAAAAGTTCATATTTGGTCAGAAGGCTGGTTCTGTGCTAGTTTAAACCATCCCAATTATAGATAATTTGTCTGAGGTCCGTTTTAATATTATTGACCTATCTGTGCGTATGTCTGTTATGTGTTTCTTCCTTTGACGTTTTCTGACGGTTTTCTCAATCTTCATATTTTTAAGTAATAACTGCAAGGTAAAAGAAAAGTTGTCTCTGGGCATAATTAATTAAGCACCACGCAATGAAGGTGTATGGGAGAATGAAAGTATAGCTCCACCATTCTTGACCTCTGCGGTCAGCTTCACGCCTCTGCCTAGCCTAGTGGCAACGCTCAAGACTTGTGTTCGGTAGGTTCTGAGTTTGAATCTCGAGTTAGACGCCGACTATGCTGAGATTGTTAGAAGTTTTCCTCAGTCCCTCCAATCCGCCGGGATAGTACCTCCATTAGACCACAACCGCTTTCTTCCAAATCCTTTCTGGTTCATCATTCATCCTACAATCCGCGCTGTATAGACTTGACACTGAAAGAGTCGTTAAATAACCACTGAAGAAAAATTGTAAGTGATGAAATTATTGAGCAGTGTAGCACGCACGGATGAATGAGACATTTCTGGAACGTATTGATTGGAAAATATGAGAAAACTAGACGTACGAGGAAAAATACTAAAACACGGATCTTAGAGAAACAGAATGGAAAGGTGCAAGTTGGATTTAATTGACTCAGTATAGGGTCTGGTAGTGAGTTGTTGTTGTGAATGTGGGAATGAACTTGCTGGTTCTATAAAAACGTTGAATTTGTTAACATCTGAGGAACTATGAACTTTTCTAGTAAGTTAGTTAATACGTGGAAAGTTCAGTGTGAGGAATATGAGCAAAATGGGGGGAAACATGAGTTAATACGTGGAAAGTTCAGTGTGAGGAATATGAGCAAAATGGGGGGAAACATGAAATGAATATAGAATTTTGGCGGGGAAATGTATTCTGAAACAACCGCGTAGAAAGCTGAGAAGGAGAGAAGAAAGGACAGTAGGTTGTGAGGACAGTGGAAGAATGGGATGACTCTGGATCGTATCCAGTAGCGGGCTTTTCCAATGTTTATTTTAGTATATATGGACAAATACCGTCTTAAGTGCAACATTTTTATTGTAGTTTTTACTTCTTTTTCCTCCTCCACACTACATGTTTCGGCCCTAAATGGCCATCATCAGGTGTGTATCACTCACGTAACTGTTACACTGCTTGTTAAAAATGTAAAAATCCCAGTCTTTCTAATTGTATAAAATCTTTGTTAATCTACACGCGTCGATTTGATTTTTAAATTAGCACTTTTTAAACCTTAATTCAAGTTAAAATGTCTATAAGATCTTTGTTCTCTTTCTTTTTCAAATTAAAATTTTTCAGGGTACATGCCCTATATCTACGGTGCTGCAGCGGCCACTTCTTGTTTTTATCGCTGTTCATGTGTTGTCTGTAATATACAAATATTTGTGTTACTATCTTATGTTATGTCTTGTTATGTTATTCTTATATGTTTATACTGTTATTTGTACTTACTCAGTGTAGGCGCTCTCTGTGTGTGTCGCTGCTTATCTTTAATACGTGTGCTGTCTGGTGTATTGTGTGCTGTGTTTCATGTTGGTGGGTGTTGG